AAAGGTTTTAAAAGGTTCGAATTAACTTTCTTGAAACGTAAGGTGTGATATGAAGGACACATTCCCCACTGCCCTGAAGTGGGTGTGCCCCAGAGACAAGGGTTTGAACGTCAGTCACTGACTCCGAGGAACTCGCTAAGATACCGTTTCCCCAAAAATAGGACAGTGTCTTATATTAATTTTTTCTCCCAAAGTTGCGCTAGGTCTTATTTTCAGGGGATGTCTTATCTTTCCATGCGCTAGGTCTTATTTTCAGAGGATGTCTTATTTTCGGGGAAACACGGTAACCATCTGTGTGCGTGATGTACTCCCCCTGGATAACTACACACAGCCCCTCGCCCCCTTTGGGATGAACACGCATGCACTGACGTCATTCACTGACAACCACCTGAACGGCTGCGCGTACAGAACAGGCTTTACAAACGGGTCCTGACAGCCAACATGCTGGCCTGTCGAGGCCGCCACGCAGGCACGTCCTTCTGTCATCGGCAGGCGCCTCCCCTCCATGCTCTGCTCCCTGCAGGCGACAGAGGACGGCCGGTACCCCCCTTTGTGAGGAGAGCGAGCTCCAGGTGAGGGGCGCCGGCCCTGCCTCCGACCGGACCAGCCCAGCTGCGGACCCCGAGGACAGCACCCCGGGTCCCCTCCAGCCTGCACCGCAGCCCCGGGAGCGTGTGTGAGTAACAAAGTGCCGTGATCTGCAGCTGCACATGTTCACGTGCTGTGAGTCCTCCACAGTTAGCGGAATCACTGTGCGAGCGCTTAAAACTGAAATGAAGCTTCTGGTCTTTTCGGTCCTAGGCCTGCCCTCGGTCCTGCATGCACAGAGCAGCCTCTTCGCTAGCAACGACTTAAATGTCCCAACACCTGCCCGGCTCAAGTTTATCTCCGGGGACGTCTTAGGACAGGTAAACCCCCTGGGTCCTTTCCCAGGATCTACTTCTTTTTTTTTTTTTTTTTTAATATATTTTATTGATTTTGTAGAGAGGAAGGGAGAGAGATACACAGTTAGAAAAACATCAATGAGAGAGAGTCATGGATCAGCTGCCTCCTGCACACCCCCTACTGGGGATATGCCAGTAACCAAGGTACATGCCCTTGACCGGAATCGAACCCGGGACCCTTCAGTCCCCAAGCCGATGCTCTATCCATTGAGCCAAACTGGTCTCAGCATGGATCTACTTCTCCTGGCTTCTCTTCCCAGAGAACATTCTAGAATCCACCACGTGCACGGCTCCTCCACGTCTTACCGGCCGCTCTCTTTCCCTTCTCAGAGGGCAGGAGTCCACGGCCTTCCCCAGGATGGCGCCTCCCTCCCGAAGGGCCCTCCTGCAGGCGGCCGGCTCCCTGCCAGAGATGGGCGGACGCCCGGTCCTACCCGCCGGGCGGAGGGGACGGCATGACAAAGCCTCTCTCTGTCCTGCCAGAGAGAAGGACATTGTGCCTCTCCTTTTAAAGGGAAGTGGAGGGGCTGTTGGGACCTGCTACCCAACAAGACATGGAGATCCCTTCACTGTGTCCCCCCTCTCTCCTCCCCTCCCGCCCCCCCAGTTCTCTGTGCAAACCATCCCGAAAGGCACTCTGCCTCCCGCCGGGCGACTCTGCCCCGCAGCAGGAGCTGGGACGGTCCTAGGGAAGGCTGCTTCCTCAGCCATAAAATGAGGGGCTCCCCCCCCACCGGGCTGGCTCCCGTGGCGTCCACACAGCTGTCCACTGGCACCCGGGGCGCTCCGAAGGGAACCCCCCCTCCTGGGACGAGCAGGTAGCGGTTTAGGACGGGGGTTCCTCTCCGGGAAGTAATTTAAGTCCACGAAGGACCCAGCACACACCGACCTTGGGCTCAAGGTCGCAGCCACCTGGCGAGTTCTTTAGAGCTGGCTGCAGGCCCCGGGCAGCATCTGGCTTAACTGTTACTATTTCTGACCAGCTGCTCAGCGGGCGCCCCGGGCGGGGGACAGAAGACAGGCTCGGACACGGAGGAAATACGGCGTCCGATGAAGGAGACGTAACCAAGCACACCAGGAACCCCTGACGTCCAACGGTTAAACAAAGGCCAGAGGGCTGACCAGACCGAAGCAGACACACGGATGGCACCCACCACACGAAAAGGAAATGGGACCCTAGTTCCACTCTGAAAATATGTTTAGTAACAATAACAACAAACAGGCAGCCAGGGACTCGCATTTCCTTGATGCTTCTCCCCACGGAGAGCCTCGGTGTGGGCTCCGGTGGCCTGGGTTCCGGTGGCCTCGGCTCCGGTGGCCTCGGCTCCGGTGGCCTCGGCTCCGGTGGCCTCGGCTCTGGTGGTCTCGGCTCTGGTGGCCTCGGCTCTGCAGTCCTGCGCTGGTCCCGGGTGGCTGGGCAGACATGGGGCCTCGCGTGGCACATGCATGGAGTGGACTGTCCAGCCCTCCCCTCTAGGGTCACGGGCCCAGAGCCGGCCTCACAGGTGTCACCCAGCAGCCGGGCATCCCTGGGCACTCCGTCGCCCGCCTCCTGGCCAGAGGGACCTGTGGGGCCTCCCTCCGGGGGGACAGGGCACCTCACGAGGGACAGGGGGACCTCACGTGGCGCCTCTCTTCCCGCCTCGCTCGGAGCCGGCACAGCGGACCCGCTCGGAGCAGCTTGCCCCTGAGCGCCCCGGCCCCAGGGGGCTCCGGCTTCCTTTCCGAGCGCCCGCCTCCGTCCCCGGTGCCGGCGGTCCCAGTTCCACTTTCTGAACGGCCCCATGTGACACGGCGCAGAGCGTATGAGCCTGAGTCACGCCGAGAATTCACCCCCAGACACTTCCTGCCGGCTGCGCGGGTGCGGAGCAAACCCTCCTGCAGTGACGCCCCTGGAAGCTGCAGGGCCCCCCACGTGCCCCCACGTGCCCTGTCAGCCCCAAAACGCTGTCCTCCCAGCGGGCAGACGCTACCGGCCTCTGATTCTGGGCGGTGCTGTGGGGCCGCCACACACACACACACATACACCCGCTCCTGAACTTTCTAACAAACAGGACGCGAAACCCAGGCCACACTGGCAGCCCCGAGCACACCTCCAAGTGCCTCTCCTGTCCGCCCTGCGGTGGCAAATCAGCGCCCTCCCGCAGGGCCAGCGTCTGTGCCAGGCCCCGCTCCAGCTCACCGGCCTCCAGACCCGCACGAGGGCGAGCTCGGGCCCGGGCCTGCGGGGGCGCGGGCAGCTGGAGTCAGGACCCGGGTCCCTAGCCTCACAGCTCATCTCCGCTCTGCTCCTTCCCCGCTTCCCGGAGACCAGCCCTCCCCCATCCCCACATCGGGGCCCAGTTATGGTTGGAGGCCTTTGGTTTCTATGGGGGAACCCCTGAGGGTGCCAGGCACCCCAAATTTGAGAACCGAGGCAAGGGACCCAGCAGACAACACAAAAGCCACAGTGTCTGTTCCTTCGGCTGTGTCCACGTCTCCTGCTCCTCAGCAGGTGCTTTGCCTATTTAATGGCCCCTGAATGACGTGAGCTTGGGGTGCCTGGTGCATTTATGTGAAAGCAGACTGGCCCCAAATATTCCGGCTCACACACGTCTGGAGGCTGGGCCAGAGGCACCCCCCTTGGAACTGGGGACCCGTCCATGGCCCCAGGCCCGTGCTCCTGGCATTCCAAGGGCGGAAATGGCACCTGTGAGACTCAGGAACAGCCCGGACGTGTCGCTGACCTGCTGTCTGAGCACTGCCTTTCCTGGCCCAGGGTGCCCAGGCCGCCTAGCTCTCTGACTGCGGGGGGCGGGGGTCCTTCCGGAACCTGTTATCAGGGGCCCCTGGGTCTGGCTAACACCACTGCCTGGGCTCCCCCAGAGCCAGGACGACAAGGACAGCCGGGGGGGGGGGGGGGCACGCACTTGGAGGACAGCGGGGATGAGGGGCAGTTTGCCATCTCCTTTAGGAGACATGCCTTCCCGGGCCTCATCCCGGCCTCTGTCTGGTCCTTCAGGGAGAGGCTCCTGACCAGGCCCTGCCTCTGGGACCTGATGCCCTCACTGGTTAGAGCGCCCCCTGGAGGAAACGAGCATGGGGTGCAGCATCCCCAAGGCACTGTGTCCCCAGCCTAAGGACCACAGTGGGGTTCAGTGCGTGCCCTGTCTGGGTGTGTGTCGGGGGGACATGCGCCCCGAGCTATGCCCACGCCGGGGTGCAGCAGACTCCCCAGGAAGGAGACCAGCCTCTGCACACCCGCCTCCAGGTCCCTCCTTTCCCACAACCGCCCGAGGCCGCCCCTGGGCACCTGCCTCTCACAGCGCCCACCCCCCAGTCCCCAGGACAGCGGCGAAGCCCGAGCGCGGGGCGCGCGCCGGCGCCGGTGACCCCTCCGCGGGCGGGAACGGGTCTCGGTGGCCCTTCCTGGCAGCGCCCTCCCCGGGGGCCGCCCGCTCTGCGCCCTGTCCCTCCGCTGACCGCCTATCCCCCCATCCAGCCCCCCGCCACCCGGGCCGCCCGGGACGGGGCCCAGCCAGGGCCGCAGGAGCCGCCGCCCGCGGTGCCCTTGGCCCGCGCTCCGGGCCCGGCGCCCTGTTCGCCCCAAGCCCCGCCCCGGCGGAGGGGCCCGGGCGGGACACTCTCCGGGGCGGAGGGGCCCGGGCGGGACACTCTCCGGGGCGGAGGGGCCCGGGCGGGACACTCTCCGGGGCGGAGGGGCCCGGGAGCTCAGCTCCGCGGCTTAAAGGTCCGGAGGGGGAGGAGCGGGTGACGGCGGCGCCAAAGGTCACAGCCGCGCGCCGCCGGCCTGGAGGCGGGGCCCGGGGCGGGGGCGCGGGGCGCGTGGCCCCGGCGGGGAGCGGGGATCGGGGATCGGGGATCCAGGGCGCGTGGCCCCGGCGGGGAGCGGGGATCGGGGGCGCGTGGCCCCGGCGGGGAGCGGGGATCTGGGGCGCGTGGCCCCGGAGGGGAGCGGGGATCGGGGATCGGAGATCCGGGGCGGTGCGTGGGGCGCAGGGCGCGGGGACCCGCGGCGCCGGCGGGACCGGGTGGCGGTCGGGGCCGCGCACTCACCCTCGCGGGCCTTCTTCCTCCGCAGCGTGCCGCCCAGCTTGCCCAGGAAGGTCTCCTCCTTCTTCATCCTGGGGGTCCGCAGCGGCGAGGAGCGCAGGGACATGGGCTGCGGCACCGGCTCCCGCGGGCGCAGCGCTCTGAGCCGCCGGGTCGCTGCCCCGGGGAGTGGCCGGAGGGCGCGGCCCCGGCGCCGGCCCCCGCCCCGCCCCCGCCCGGCCCCGCCGCCCGCCGCCGGAGGTCTGTCCGGACCGGATCCTGGTCGCCCTTCCCGCCCGCAGGCAGCCGCCGGTCCCACGCCGCGCGCCCCCCACTGTCTACGCGGAGGACGGGCTGCCCCTGGGCCTGAGCCGGACACACCCCCCCCCCCCCCCCCGCCACCCTGCGCCCCTTTGTTCTGCGGGCCTGAGCCCCGAGCCCCCGGGCTCTGCTGATGCCCATGGGGAGCGGGCGGCCACGTGCATCACATAACCCGCAAACGGTCGTTTCGCTGCCGGCTTCTCCCCGGAGCCAGGCCTGGGCTGGGGGGACCCCTGTGAACTGTCCGGTCTTGGGGGGGGAGGGGGCGGCGGACACCAAGGACAGCCCTGTAACCCAGGAGCCAGGCCCCAGGGACAGGGGATGCCGGAGTCACACAGAGCCCGGAAGGGGAGGGGAGAGAAGGGGGGCGTGGGAGGGGGGACTCGGGGGCCAGGGGGCTTGTAGGGGGGCCTCTGACCCGGGACTGGGGTGCAGAAGCCCTCACCTGCCTTTGGGGAAGGAAGAGAAGTCTCTGCAGCGGAGGGGAAGGGAGAAGGGCACGCGTGGGCCTCGCGTGGGGATGTGGCAGGGCCGGAACGGCAGATGCTGGGTGGACGGTGAGGGGCAGAGGGCATGAGGTCAGCGCCCTGTGGGGGGACCCTGAGCCCCTGGACCCGCGGCCTGGCACCCACGGCTGCAGAGACAGCCGGAAGCACGGGCCACGGAGAGCAGAAGCTGTGCCAACGCCAGCCCCGAGGTGGGGCCAGGGCACGGACAGGACACCGGCCGCACACGTGGGCAGCAGTGGGATGCTGAGGTCTGGGGTAGTGAGGTCAGAGGTCTCGGAGGCCTCCATGGCCCCATCTGGGGCGTCGCTCACCAAGCTGGGGAGGCCCCAGACGGAGTGAATTCGGCTTTGAGAAGCCAGGGGTGCTGGCAGAGTCCGGGCCAGGCAGCGCGCTCTGTGCCGGGGTGCTGCCCGCCACCCTCAGCTCCCCGCCCACAGGACAGGGTCCACTCGGAAATGCACGGACCAGATGCTGTGTAGTTTCGGGTGGCCCACAGACACCCACCTGTTCGGGCACACAGGCCCCGGGGGGAGCTGTGACCAGGGGAGGGTGAGCAGCAGGGCAGCCTGGGAAAGAGGGGCGAATGCCGGGCCCAGGAGCAGGGAGCCAGGTGGCGTGGGCGCCCGCAGAGGCGCCTGGGAAACCGTGTCTGAGTCTCCGTCCGGGGTCCGGCTTCCCAGCGGACGCACAGGACATACACCTGTCACCTGCTAACCGCCCCGTGAGCCCTGCAGGAACGCCTACAGGCGTTTAAGATGCCGTGACTCGCCCTAGCTGGCTTGGCTACAGCGTCAGCCTGCAGACTGAAGGGACCGGGGTTCGGTTCCGGCCAAGGGCACATGCCTAGTTTGCGGGCTTGGTCCCCAGTGGGGGTGTGCAGGAGGCAGCCAATCAATGATTCTCTCATCATTGATGTTTCTATCTCTCCCTCTCCCTTCCTCTCTAAAATCAATTTTAAAAATTTAAAAATAAATAGGTAAATAAATAAAATGTCCTGACAGCCACCAGCTGGTGTGCTGAGTGGTCAGAGCATCAGCCCACACAGCGAAGGGTCACAGGTTCGATTCCGGTCCAGGGCGCGTACCTGGGTCAGGTCACCCCCAGCCCAGTTGGGGTGTGTGCTAGAAGCCACCCATCAATTTGACATCGATGTTTCTCCTTCCCTGCCTCCCTCCTTTCACCCTCTCTGAAAAGCAGTGGGGAAAATATCCTCGGGTGAGGACAAAAACTTTTTTTAAAATTAAAGTGTGGCGGTGCCGTGGAAGAGTTTCTCTCGCAGACAGCCACACACTGACAGCGGTGCGCCTGCCCCCCCGGACCACCCGAGGCAAAGGAGGCGCTGGAAGGGGAAGTGGCCGGCCTCCGGGGTAGCCGGCCTGGGATACGTAGACGTCATTCGTATAAAAAGCACAACCACACGTCAGCGCGGGCGTGTGCTTGTTACTAAGAAAGCACACGTCGGAGCGGGCTGGAGGGGCCAGTGGGGATAAAAGGGAACATCATACTTTCCATAGTTGCCCTGACTGGTGTGGCTCAGTGGATAGAGCGTCGGCCTGCGGGCTGAAAGATCCCAGGTTCCATTCAGGTGAAGGGCATGTACCTTGGTTGCAGGCACATCCCCAGTGGGGGCTGTGCAGGAGGCAGCTGATCGATGTTTCTCTCTCATCGATGTTTCTGGCTCTCTCTCCCCCTCTCCCTCCCTCTCTGTAAAAAAAATTAATACAATGTATTTTTTTAAAAAAACAGTAAAGATTTAAAACAAACAAACAAAAAAACCTACGAAGCAGCAGTGGAGTTCACGTGGCTCCCCACCCCGGCCGAGAGCAGATCCTTCCCCTGCTGGGCTCGGCCTGCAGGCGGAGCGGGGCCTGTGTGGTGCAGTGGGAGGTGGTGGCTGAGCTGGTGGCTGCGGACTGTCTGGCTGCTTTGTGCGCAGAGGACAGGAACAGTGGATTGTTGGCGTGGTTGGTCTGCGTTTTGTAGGCGCTGGAGGAAGAAGCCACACTGCTACAACCCCCCTCGCTTCCCTCCTAACAGGCTCCTCTCCGGGGGTCACTCTCTCCGGGGGTCGTTCTCTCCGGGGGTCACTCTCTCCGGGGGGCGTCCTCTCCGGGGGTCACTCTCTCCGGGGGTCATTCTCTCCGGGGGTCACTCTCTCCGGGGGGTCGTTCTCTTCGGGGGTCACTCTCTCCGGGAGTCACTCTCTCCGGGGGTCACTCTCTCCGGGGGGCGTCCTCTCCGGGGGGCGTCCTCTCCGGGGGTCACTCTCTCCGGGGGTCACTCTCTCCGGGGGGTCGTTCTCTTCGGGGGGCGTCCTCTCCGGGGGGCGATTCTCTCCGGGGGTCATTCTCTCCGGGGGGCGTCCTCTCCGGGGGTCACTCTCTCCGGGGGTCACTCTCTCCGGGGGGCGTCCTCTCCGGGGGTCATTCTCTCCGGGGGGCGTCCTCTCCGGGGGTCATTCTCTCCAGGGGGCGTCCTCTCTGGAGGTCATTCTCTCCGGGGGGCATTCTCTCCGGGGTCATTCTCTCCGGGGGCCATTCTCTCCGGGGGGCGTCCTCTCCGGGGGTCATTCTCTCCGGGGGTCACTCTCTCCGGGGGGCGTCCTCTCCGGGGGTCATTCTCTCCGGGGGGCGTCCTCTCCGGGGGTCACTCTCTCCGGGGGGCATTCTCTCCGGGGGTCACTCTCTCCGGGGGGCGTCCTCTCCGGGGGCCATTCTCTCCGGGGGGCGTCCTCTCCGGGGGTCACTCTCTCCGGGGGGCTTTCTCTCCGGGGGCCATTCTCTCCAGGGGGCGTCCTCTCCAGGGGTCATTCTCTCCGGGGGCGTCCTCTCTGAGGGGCGTCCTCTCCGGGGGGCGTCCTCTCCCGGGGTCATCCTATCCGGGGGGCGTCCTCTCCGGGGGGCGTCCTCTCCAGGGGGCGTCCTCTCCGGGGGCCATTCTCTCCGGGGGTCATTCTCTCCGGGGGTCATTCTCTCCGGGGGTCATTCTCTCCGGGGGCGTCCTCTCCGGGGGGCGTCCTCTCCGGGGGGCGTCTTCTCCGGGGGTCACTCTCTCCGGGGGGCGTCCTCTCCAGGGGTCGTTCTCTCCGGGGGGCGTCCTCTCCGGGGGCCATTCTCTCCGGGGGCCATTCTCTCCAGGGGGCGTCCTCTCCAGGGGTCATTCTCTCCGGGGGGCGTCCTCTCTGAGGGGTGTCCTCTCCGGGGGGCGTCCTCTCCCGGGGTCATCCTATCCGGGGGGCGTCCTCTCCGGGGGGCGTCCTCTCCGGGGGGTGTCTTCTCCAGGGGTCACTCTCTCCGGGGGTCATTCTCTCCGGGGGCGTCCTCTCCGGGGGTCATTCTCTCCGGGGGGCGTCCTCTCCGGGGGGCGTCCTCTCCGGGGGGCGTCCTCTCTGGGGGATCGGCATCGGGAGGACTCTCCAGGCTGCCTTACAGATCGGTACACGGAGGTGTTCGCTGGGAGTTCGGGAACGTTGGCTTTTAATAAAAGAGAATTTACCAAGAAGCAGAAACGTGATCTCAGCCCCGTCCACTCGGCCCTCCGCCCTGGGCATGCTGGGAGGGCGCTTATGGGAATCGGGGTGCAGGCAGGGCCGCGGAGAGAAGCTGCTTCCTTTTAAGCTGCGTCGGGGCCGAGGCCCGAGCATCCCGCGAGCGCGTGGGGCCAGCAGCGGCTCTTGGTCCCTCGGGGCGCCTCCCGGGAGGGGCGCTGGGCGCAGGGGCGTGATGTCCGAGCACTCCAGCGGCGGCAGACGGAGAAGCAGCCGCGGGGACGAGACGGAGCCCAGGCCCGACGGCCCAGCTGGCAGAGTGCGGGCTCCTCTCGGGTTCGACTTCCAGTCAGCGCACGTGCCTGGGCGGGGGGCTCGGTCCCCAGGATGGAGGGGCGTGAAGGCCGCGGACCCATGCTCTCTCTCTGCTGTCTCTGTCTCCCTGTCCCCACGGAGCAATGCAGTGCAGCAAGGCCCTGTGAGCGGGGCGGCCGGACACGAGTCCACGTGGAGTGGATTCACATCTCCGAAGCTCTGCAGGGGCGCCTTCTCTAGGTCACAGTGGCCGCCCTGGAGGCGAGGCGCCTCTGGAGATGCCCGCGGCCCAGCGTGGTCCGGGGCACTGGTGGGTGTGGTGACCTCCCGGAAGCCTTAGGGGCAGAGTGGGGCACACACACACACACACACACACCCTCCCCCTCGGCAGCAGGAGGTCTCTCCAGCTTCGGTTTCATTCCTCACCAATCTGTCTGTTAATGGCTGGCGGCTGGGCGGGCGCTCAGAGAGGTGAGAGCCCCCTGCTGCCCTGGGCTCCCCTCGCCTCCCGCTCCCGTGCCCAGAAAGAAGGGGTTCCTGGGAA